CTTGCAGTACAACAATGTTCAAAGAATTCTTGTAGATGTGGCTTTAAATAAAGTTATGTTATATTTTTTTATTTTATTTTATTTTTTATACATAATAATTTATTTAATCATTACTTACTCTTTTTTTTATATCCGCTGCAGTACGATCTTCACGAACAACAGTATCATCTACAAGCCAAATGGTTTCCCAGAACCTCTCTAATTCTATGTCTGATGCAGCATTAAATGTTTTGAATTGTTCGTTTTTTAAAGACTGACGGTTGAATATATCACTAATTAGACGAATTGGAGTTTGAAGACTTTCAATAAGTTTATCCTTCATATTAGGATTTTCCTCAGCAATTTTGCGTATATCATTCATTGTGCCAACTTTACTGATTAATTTTTCTGAATCATTATCCATTTTAGTTCGCATTAATCCAACACTCTGTAACCCTAAGTTCAGAATCGACATGATACGTTCAACTGGATTTTTCCACGAATGTTGTGGTGGAGTCCGAACGGCAACAAAGTAATCAAGGTCCATAGCGAGAAAAAGACAAATGTAGGAGAGCTGGACACTGGTAAACGTACAACGATGATCTGGACCACCATCCGTGTAGAGGCACATTACAGGATTATCAAATAGATCTTCTTCAAGAAGTATATTAGATAATTCTGTTGCGTGACGGAGCGGTGAGGAAGGTTGAAAAATCGGATCTTTTAATCCAATGTGTACTTGTCCTGTGTAAAAATCACCATTTATCGATTCAGGTATATTACAAACCATTATCACACTTGGTATGATTCCTGTTTTAGTATAGTCATGATCAGCTACTTTAAATGTTGTGTCCCTAGAGACTATAACTTTCTTTCCCCTCTCAATTGCTGCAACAGGAAAACCAGGTTCTCCAACTTTACAGCGGTGTTTATCATCTAAAAAGATAAAATTTGTAATTTTACGAAATTTTACGGCGAATTCTTTCTCGTAACGGAACAATGCTGATGCATAGTGAGCATCTGGATGATATGCACGTAATTGACGGGTTTGCACCATAAATTTTAAGGGTAAGCGACCAGTAAATTGTAAGCTGCTAAGCCGTGTTGGATTTTTAGGCCAAAATTGCAGCCGTAACCATTGTGCACTTGGGATCAGTGTTCCAGATGGACATTCACGTTCAATCTGACACAGAAGATCGTTCACGGATATTGCAGTTGCAAGATGCACAATTGGATCATGTCTACGTTCATCTACGGCTGTTACTGCTTCAGCAGCTTTTCCTTCAAGAAATTGCGCTGCAAATTTCCAGAATTCATCATATTTACTAGGTCTTCCACAATTATGCTCACGTAAATCAATGGTAATTTCTGGATCGCCGAGGTCTAAGGCAATCTTAACACGTTCATCAACTTCTGCTTCAATTGTATTTTCAGCTGCAGAGACATCACCCGTCAACATTCTATAGATTGCCCTGAGTGATGATGATTTGGCCTTTGGAAGAAGCAAATCACAGGTACGTAGGTAATTTATCCTCATTGCACGTGTATGATAGTGGGGTGCCTCCTCCTGTAACTCACTTATAACTTTGTTATTCTCTCTTAAAGTCTTTTCTTCATCAGCTTGCTCGTCGATTTTCCATATTGATATAGCATTAAAAGCATTATTCCCTGAATTGAATCTATACTCTCCAATTTTGAAAGAAAATGCGCGAGATAAGCCCTGGATATAACGCATCCTTTGTCTATATTATCAGCAGTTTATATTAGAAATTTAATATTAATAACTCTTAATATATAATATATAGAGAAGAGTTGGTATATTCTTTAACAAATTTTATGAATCTTTAAACAAAAATAATTCAATTTTTATACAATTTTTTAAAATAAGCTATTGTTGAATTATATCTGTTCTAAGTTCGCATATGAACCTTTTTTATGTTACTACAAATTTAGTAATAGCAAAAAATAAGTAATAACATTTTTTTTATTTTATTATACTTACACAGGGTCAATAGGCAGAAATTCTTCAATGTCAATTGGCTTCCATAGTGGTAATTTAGTGAGCGCCTGTTCGAGATGATAATACTTGGTCTTGTCAACGGGTGTGACCCAAAAGTTTCGTTTATGGACTTGGATTGTTGTTGCCTGTTCAACACTTCGTACAGGTGTTTCTGATGCGTGATTCGTAGCCGTAACGTTACGTTGATGTTGCAGAAATTTAACATAATTTGAAATAGCAACAACAAAGTCATCAAACGCATCACGGAGCCAATTAAAATTATTCTTCAGCATCCATGATGAAGTAGCGTATGGGGCAAGCGCTTTACAATGTAAATTTAGTTCATTCATATCAAAGAGTTTTCGTGCTTCCTTGTATGATTCTGGATTTGCGCGATTAAAAAACTCAAGAAAAAGCTTAGGGATATGACAGCTACGCTCTTCGAATTTTTGGTGGCCACGCATATCAATGTACCAAATCGCTTCATGCAGACTAACAATAAAATTCTTTCCTTGAGTATTAGCATATGATTGAGTGGACCATCCTCCACCACGACTCCGAATCCAATCAACAATTTCATTTCGTAATATATATTTACGATTTGTCTTTTCTGATTGTTGAAAGGTTGGTAGATATAGTCTAGTTTGGTATGCATTTTGCATTAGGATTGCAAGGCTGTTCTGCTGTGGTGTTAAATTAACGTCATCTGTTTTAAGGCGGTAATGTATATATATTCCTATACTCGCTGTAACTTCCATAATATTACAGTTAGGACTAACTTGGGTTGCGCCCGTAGTTGGTGAATTACTTAGCTCGATACGTTCTATTGCTTCGGGATCGATCACACCGATATTACACTCAGAAGATAGTTCTCCAGTTGTAAGTTTTACAAAGAAATCTTTTATTGTCATCTCATGGGGGATAGGATGAATATACCACCCATGAATGTTTTTTGATCCTTTTGAAATGCGAATATTTGCAAATGGCATTTTTTTAATACTAAAAAGTTTATTAAAAGATACGCTTTTCTTTAATTATTTTATATAAAACCGAGAGATAAATATAGATGGATATAAATATAGAGAAATAATAGAGGTAGGAATTTCACGGTAGTAAATAACAGTTTAGTATAAGTGATATATTTTTGATTAATAATTTTAGTTGTCCGTTAGGTCGATGACATAAAAACGAAAGACACGAATTTACAAGGCAGGTATTAGATATATGAGAGTTTTTTTCAATTTAAACTGTTTACTAATCTTTGTATTTATCTATTTGTAGAATTGAATTCTGAAAAAAAATTATTAAAGTTAAAAATGATGGGTTTAAATACATTTTAATTTCTTGTAATTATATTTACCGTACAGCGCGGACCACAGTACCCGGTGTGACACAAAATTTTACTCAGTAAAAATTTAAACATCACGTGATTATGCATCACATGAATGCATAAATAGTATTTTAAAAAATCGATCCACACTATTTGTCACACCGGGTACTGTGGTCCGCGCTGTACGGTAATGTATTTAACTAAGGTTCCTTTTCTGTATTTGCGATACAACTATATCTTTATTACTGATATTTTTCTTCCACATATCATTGACAATTGTAGCACTTTCCTTTCTTTTACTCACGATATATTACAATTCTCAATGAACTAGATAATTTCAAATCGTGTCATCTCCCTTTTCAATGATAAACGTATAAACGGTTCCACCCAAATATTCGCCTTTTCAATGATAAACGTATAAACGGTTCCACCCAAATATTCGTACAGTCTCAATGAATAACGTATTGGCCAAGTTTCCTTTTTCATACTTGCAATACAACTATATTTCTCTCTTCACACATCATTGACAACTGTAACATTCCTTTTTGATATCGTAGGCTTTAATGAACAAGATATTTTCAAATAACGCCATCTTCCATCTCAATGATAAACGTGTAAACTTCACTTAATAAATATTTTGTTACTCCAAATATCAACACAATCGCAATGAAAACCCCAACGCTCTGCTTCCTGATTAGGGGCTAATGAGGGCGAGTATATAATGCTGAAATAGGAATAGCTGAATTTTCACGAGGATAACAGTGTTTATATTATTCTTTCCACTTTGGGCTTAGACTGGTTATCTATTAATTATATCAAGTACCAATATTAGAATCAACGTAACTATAAAGGATGCTAACTATATATGGGTATGTATGTTAAAATAATAACGTTTAATAAGTTCGTTGAACAAATTAATTCGGAATTGTATTGTAACGGTAGGGTCGATTATATTTCAAACCACTTCCGTCTACTTATTTATCTTACTGAGGTGTCTAATTGCATAGTACAAGTGGACCACAAATCGATTTATTAATTGGCGACTATGTGAATAGTGTTGTGTAGTTTTGCAACTACCTATGTGTTTACTCAGGTTAGTGGGTCTTTTCACGCTTAGCTTATCCCTTTTACCACCAAAGCGAAAACAACACAGATATGTAGTTTCTTAATAAAGGTTACTTTAGAAAACCAAATTCTGTCGATTATCTTAGAGAATAAAACCTTTTATATTATTAATTATTGCGTCATTGATTACATGAATTAGACTTTTAATTAATTTCTAGACCCGATCACGTCATAGATTGGATCACGTTACATAACCCTGGCAGTGATTTCATCAGTGAACCGATCCTGACTGTGACAAATACACCCAAATGTCTATGATTACTTTTTCTTGGCCAAGTTAAGCACATTCTCTGAATGTTTCTACCGGGTGGTTGAAAAGTAACTAGACAGTAATCTTTATTAATCACTATGATTATTATTGTAATGTTTAAAATAATTATAATAATAATAATAATAATTACTAAACGTTAAAATGATAATCGTAGTGATTAAAAAAAGGTCACTGTCTAGTTACTTTTCACCTACCCGGTATAACTAGTGCCAGATTCGGAACATCAGGTAGTGTGGAATTTTAATGGCACTGTTGGTTTGTTTCTGGTATAATAGTGGATATTTCTCAAAAATTACTCAGAACAGTTTAATACTTCGACATTTTGCCTAGGTTCAATTCTGGGAAAGGATCTGCAATTTAAGTATTTTTTTTTTTTTTTTTTTTAAATTACATTTCTTTATAATTCACATACGTTTTCAATGTTGGTAGTGATTGCAGGATTAATTGTACTTCTGGTCGGTTTGTAAGTTAATATATTTGTTGCCGTTCTATATGCGTAAAAATGAATAGTAACCATTTTTTTTGTGTACAGAGCTTAAGTACATACCTAAGGGTGTTTTGTACATGTTTTGTCGCTGATAATTTTCGTTACGGGTTCTTCGAAGCTGAGGTATTATCAAATTTGGTAAGTATTGGTATAGTTTTTCCACCTCTGATATTACTTTCATAATAATTTGACATGTTAATTCATTTAGTCATATAGATTCAGGCACTAAATATTGATCATTTAATCAATAAATCTGATCATACCTGTATTATGTGTATTCATTTGTATTAGCTTTGAGCTCTTTCAAACATGTGTCGGAAATAAACTTTGGTTTTATTTAATAGTCACACTCGAGCGTTATCTTTTTGTGAGGAATCAACACGAGGTTGGTCCCAACGTGGGTCAATTAGTATTCTATCTGATTATTAATCATTGACCGACTTTAATACTAATCGACCTCATATTGGTCTGTCTCATCTTGGTCCCTCACATTTATTGTTATTACCATGTTATTGATTTTGATAAACTCTTAATTTTATTTGACAGTATAAGAATCATTATCCCTGATCTCCTGATAATGAGAACTGGCGAGAATTTTTAATTTTGGATATCATATTACAGATTCTTAACTAGAGCTTCGATCCTAATTTTTCAGGGCTATCCGGATTGAATTCGGATTCTCTTTCACCAAAAATAAGCATTCTAATAACGCTTTACGGTTAGTGTTCGGATGAGAAAGTTTGTATTCTAAAGCCATTCTAATAACTCTTATGTTTAGTAGAGTTCCAATCCGAATAATCCATCATCCGTATCTGAATTATCCGGATAATTCAGATCGCTCAGATATCCGAATAATTATTCAGATATCCAAATAAATTCAGATCCGGATATCTTATAATTATTCGGATAAATGCTTAACAGATTGGAACTCTAATGGTTAGTGTTAGGATGAGAAAGTTCGTATTATAAAATCATTCTAACAGCTCTTTAAAGTTAGAATTTAGTATTTTGATTATGGACGTTTGTACTATATATTGTAAGGATCATTATCCGAATAATCCTATCCTCAATCCGATATATATTACGGATCTATCCGTTTAAAATTGACGGATAAGGATGATAAAATTCATAAATAAAAATTTTTTTTATTAAAAAATTTTTTTTAAAAAAAAATTAAAATCCGGGTTGGCGGGTCATGGAAGGTCAGTTGATGATATGAAAACCGAAAATATAAGTTTGTATGGCCTAATATTTATAATGAATAAAAATATATATTATTAACAAATATTTAAATAAATAAATAAATAATAATAAATTAAATAAATAATATCTGAAAAACTATATAAAAGAGAAGTAAAAGTAAGAGTTCTATTTAAATAATGTTATATATTAAGTTTAATACATATATATAGGCAACCAACAATAGAAGTCAAGCAAATCTATATTTAAAAAAAATTAATGCCTTAACTTTTACAGCTTATATCTCAATGAATTTTAAAGCTATTTTGATAATTTGATATTTGAAAGAAGCCTTATGATCTAAGCTTTCTTTTGAATATTAAACTATCAAGTTAGCATTAGAATTTATCATAATATGAGCTGTAAAAGTCAAAGTATTGATTTTTTTTAAATATAAATTTTCTTGATTTCTATTGACGGCTGACCATATATATTAATATATAATTATATAATTATAGTAGTTTTAGCAAATTACACTTCTGTAGTTTGCTATATTATAAAAAAAATTATTATTATCTAATATTTATAATGAATAATATATACAGGAGACCTTTTTAAATGCACTTTCTATAAATGCACCTTCTATGTAGAATCTCTTTAAATGTACAGTATAGTCTGGTCCCAGCCTATGATAATACTATATAATTTGCTTTTTATAAATACATGCCTTCACTAAGTGCATATTTGTAAAATTTTTTACTATGTTCCCAAGGGGTGCATTTAGAGAGATCTCTCTGTATATATTATTATCATTAAATTATTAACAACTATTTAAATAAATAAATAATAATAAATTAAATAAAAAATATCTAAAAAACTATACAAAAAAGAAGTGCTAGTAAGAGTTCATCAGGAAGTTTTAAAAGTGTTAACTTACAGGGTGTAATATGTTGCTTAACGAACCCTATATAGCTTAACACTTTTTATTAATAAAATTAATGTTAAATAACAGAGATGTGATAAATAGCTGATAAATAGCTATTTACCACATCTCTATTGTTTAACACTAATTTTATTAATAAAAAGTGTAAAATTATGTAAGGTTTGTTAAGCAACGCATCACACCCTGTTAGTTAACACCTCTCAAAACTTCCTGATGTTCTATTTAAATAATACTATATATTAAGTTTAATACATATATATGGGCAACTGTTAATAGAAGTCAAGCAAATCTACATTTTAAAAAAATTAATGCCTTAACTTTATGGCTAACCATATATATATTAATATATAATTACATAATTATAGTAGTTTTAGCAAACTACACTTCTGTAGTCTGCTATATCATAAAAAAAATTATTATTATCTAATATTTATAATGAATAAAATATATATATTATTATTAATAAATTATTAACAAATATTTAAATAAATAAATAAATAATAATAAATTAAATAAAAAATACCTAAAAAACTATACAAAAGAGAAGTACTAGTAAGAGTTCTATTTAAATAATATTATATATTAAGTTTAATACATATATATAGTCACAGTGTATAAAATCTATGTGCACAATATGCTTATAAGCACATGTTTTTAAAAGTTTTCACATGTTTTTAGCTAGAAATGTGTATGAAATTCACAAGATTTCTAGCTACATAGTGCACCAAATTTATTAATAAACCCTTAACTATGTGCACATTGAGCACATTGTATACAGTCGTCCCTCCATATAGTTACCTCCCATATAGTCACAAACTCTACACAATCACATGATTTTAAATTCCCATTTTTTTATTATTAAAAATACCTCTA